ATAAATTTATTCAAGTTAAACAATTTATTTAATTTAAAGAGAAAGAGCATAAAAAGAATCTTAAATATAATATAAATACATACTATTATTAGCGGTCTGCCTTGAGTTTGATTCAAATGGCTAAGCAAATAATCCTATCTATACTTATCTCTAGATCGCTTAAAGAATACCCGAGTACTAAATAAATTTCGTCATAAGTTATGCTATAAGATTCTTATGATTGCTCAATAAACTTTGCTAAAATTGCACGGCTGAGAGACGTTGTGTTTTATTGTCGTCAAGATAAATATGGGGCATCATGTATGAGTTTTAGCATTCATACTATTGTTGAAATGCACTGCTTAACATTTTATTGTTGAAAACAAGATATTTTTATTTTTTCGTTTGGATTTATGGTTATAAATATGAATAGGCTTGAACGGTTACGTTATTTGATTTCATTTTTCTTTTTAATATATTAGTATTCGTAAAAAATACACACTTTTTAAATATCAATTTTATAACATTATAAAATTTTTTTCCAACAAATAAATACAAGCTTAGTTGATGAATTTTTGTATAATAACAATCCATTCCTTGTTAGTCAATAGGATAAGGTCAAATATTTTATTTTGTTTCTGCAGAACTGAAGTTCAGTGTTGACATCAATGATAAAAGTGACAGCAGTCTGAAAATATTATATCATTATAAGGAATTGGAGATTGAAGTACAATCAATGAAACTTAATTAAAAATTAACTGATTAAATATACCCGTACACTGATAGAAAAAAAATCTTGATTCAAGAAACTTTTTTTCTTCAAAACTTGAACTCTTGAAACTAGATATGACTTTTTTTTTTTTGAGTCATTAATTAATTTACTCATTTCCAAGAAATAATTTTTTTTGGTATAAAAATTAAAGACTATTCAGTTTTTGAAATATACTTTGATGAATTATTTTAAGTTTTTTAAACGATAATGTTATTTTGATTGAAAAACTTAAATGTATCGATTGAAGATAATATAGCTCTTAAGCCAAGAAAATCTAAATCAAGACAAGAAATTCTTAAAGCAAAATAATCATTTGTCTTCCAAAATAAATTCTTAGATCAAGAAAATATCTTTTGAGTCAACATAAATTTTCTATCAGTGTACAAAAAAACTTTTGGTTCATGATGAATTTCCGGATGAACTTCAGATTGTGAAACAAATATCGATTATCTAATTAGCAATTTCTCTAACTTCTTATTTTTTAGAGGGTGATTTTTTAATATTTTGATGTAGCCATAATCAAATTATAAATTATTTGAATGATTCAAACCTAAATATTATATCTCTATTAGATAATAATGATATTAAATGGTTTTTTAAAGTGATAATAAATTTTTAACTAATTGTTTTTTTCGTACAAATAGAAGATTCTCTAAAATGGAGTTAGACAATTTGCTAATTAAAACGTCGATATGAATTTCATGATGAATTTCATCGTGAATTCCAGCTGAATTTCATGATGAATTTGGAACAAATCGTATAAGGTAAAAAAGACCCCATTAGTGGCATTTTTTCTTTCAATGAAAAAATGTTCTAATTGGAATAAAAATTAAAAATTTTTTTGATGAAAAAGTCTTAAAGATTAGAAATAACATATTTATTATTGAAATTAATGATTTATTTAATTGAATAAGTATCAAAATCAAAGAAAGTGTCAGTAATGGGGTCCCCGCCACTAATGGGGTCTTTTACCCTATGCAACTTAATTTTTTTAATCTGTAAAAAAATATTCGTAGTCAATTATATTGGAATTTTTAGTTTTATTTATACTGACTCAACATTTACGATTCTATAACTTCTAATTAAGAAAAAATGTATGAGATTTGTGTGAAAATTTTTTTAATATGTTCATGAGCGTGTGAAGAAAAAATCTACGAAATTTACTAAATATTTTCTTTATTTGCTCATGCGCATACACTGTAAAAAGTATGCGGCGTGATTTGCGAAAGGAATGATTTTTAAATGATTTAATCTTTTTGAAGTGAAATTCACTCATTCACATTTTACTTATATTGATAATCAAAAAAACATTGAGGAGTAAATTCTATATTTCTCTTTATTGAATGCAAAAAAAAATTTTTATCTGTAAAAAATGACAAAGTGCATATTAAAAGCTTTATAAAATTTCCTTAATATGTTTTTGAGTATATTAAGGAAAATTCTCGTAAACACAGTAATAACATTGTACTTATTGTGATTAAATACCAAATATATTGGAACAATAGTTAAACTACTTAATTATGTACAAGTAACCTTACTACTGTACGATAATAAAACAAATTCTACTCGCGAAGTTTTTCTAAAAGGTTTCAGTTTTGTTTATGTTTTATGTTAAAGTATTTTTTTTTATTGTGGTAAAAACCAGCATTTTTTATTTACACTTTATAGAAAACATACTTAAATAACAATTAACAATTAAACTTATTAATTAGATTAGATATTTTTTGTGTAATCACAAAATCGTTCAGTCAGGGCCCATAACCTGCGGGTACTTTAGTTATTACGCTTATTAAATTAAACACTTTAAAAAACAAAAAGATGTTACACTTTTGATAAGTTAAAATAATATCCGTAGACTATAAATCTAGGACATGAGTAACTTTATTCAACGAGCATTTTTATGTATTCATACAGTAGCTGTAAGTACTGTATAAAGTACATCAGTAAATTCAAACATGATTCCTTTTATTTCAGTACACCAGAGGGAATAAATCCAGTAGTCGGGAATTTCGAATCCCTTAAACACACCCGGATATATGTGACTCTCGACTCCCGAACTTTATACACCCTCGTCATCGGATCCATCGGTACTGCGCGGAATATGTTCATTCAGAAAGCGTAATCCCATGTATCAAAAATCTTTTCATTTAAACTGCTTCAAAAATCCAATCATACTAAAAACTTTTTTTTCTTCTCTCCTTTTTTTATACATAATACATATCTATAGTATATAGTTTAATTAAAGATTAAGTTATTGACATAAAACATTTATGGTTTATAAAATAAAATTTAAAATACGTTATCGCGATTACAGTTATCCGGGTAAAAAAATTGCCGGGAAAAATAAAATTTCTGATGGTCTAAGTGGTAAAACTGCAAGGACATAAATCCAAATAATTGCCAGGATCCACCATTGCATTATTCTTTTCAACATTATATAGATATACATTAACCATAGAATCTAAAAACGTCCAATGAACTCTGACAATCTCGAAAAAATTGTATCGATAAATCATTTGAATTATTTGATAGAAAATAAATTTATCAAACACGATAAAATGACATTTATTGGAAAAAAATTCTGTTGAGATGACCGGTATGAATTTATGATAAAAATTATTAATAATTTATAAAAGTATTCAGATACTGAAATAATAATTGTTATTATTATTTTTATAATTTATTATTAAAATGCCAAGGCACGAACCACATGGCTAAAATTCAATACATTAGTTAGTTTTTACAACTGTATGTACAATAATTAATTTATATATAGGAAGTATATAGAAGGTTGAATGAAAATGATAAAACTAAAAAGTTAGAGCATACTGAAACCATACGTTTTAAAAGTAATGAAAGATTTAACTAAGAATAATTTTAATAAATCCGGTAATGTTCATCAATAGCTAAAATGTTGTAAACACAACGAACTACCCAATCATATAATAATATATAATTTATGAACTAAACCCCCATGAAAAAAAAAAATATAAATAATACCTATATATTTCGAAATATAAAAAAGATTATATTTTAAATATATTAAAAATCTATAATAAATATATTTTTAATAACTAACTTTTGGCCGATTTTCATATATATATATATATATATATATATATATATTTTAGATATATTCAAGATATATTTTAAAATACATAAAAAATACATAGCTGAAGATATAAAAAAAACATATTTTGAATATATATAAAATATATTTGAAATATATGAAATATATATGAAAATCGGCCAAAAATTATTTAATAAAAATATATTTATTATACATATTTTTTATATTTTTTTTTCATGGAGGAAGATGATAATAGATTTATTGAAAATTGAGTGATAACAAATAATTAAACATTTTTTTTTTAATACTTTTAGACTTTTTACATTTGATAATTTCGATGTCAATTAAAGATGACTCCTTTCATTCTTAAAAATGGTGAACAAAATGATATTGAAATTAAGAGATATCTGCAAATTTTAAGAATTGTTTAAAGGAATAAATTTGAATTTAAAAATTTCTCCAATGAAAATTCAAAAAAAATTTTTTATTGTTTTAATAAAAACTAAAATTAAAAAACGAATAAACTAATAATTTTCATTTGTTCAAAAATTTTACAGAACTAAATTTTTTAAACTTACGAAAAAATTAATAAAAAATTTACTGCTTTAATGTTGCTATTTAATGCTTTAATCAAAATAAAAAAAAAATTTATGATTTAATTTTTGAATTTTGAAATGTTCTGTAGAATTGAAAAATTTTTTTTTCAGTCAACTCAGAAGAGTAAAAAATTTTTCAGTTGTCAAACACCCCTCTATTTATATATTTATATGTATTATTGACCACAGAAACCGAAAATGTCCATTGAACCCTGACGGAAAAAATGACCCCAATAAATCATTGGAACATCAATTTAAAAATAAAAACAAAAACAAAATAGACGAGAAAACAAAAATAATCAATAATAAAAAAAAATACATTGTGTAGAAAAAACCCATTAATAAAGAAGCAGGGGTGTAGATGCATGATAGAAATGTCTCATTGTTTAAAAGTATCCTATCCCTGTACTTAAAATAAGTAAATACACAAATATACATATATCATATATATACATAGATATCCTGGTTAGGTGTAAGTAGTATAAAGTACAGAGTACAGTAGGAAGTAATATTGATTTTTGATGATGGTTCCAGGCGCAAGCGCTAGTATTATAACTTGCGTCAGGGGGGTGCGGTTGTTACCATGGATCCCAGTGTACTCGCCAACATGGATAAAGACGCACTGAAGAAGCAGATTGAAAACATGAAGTATCAAGCTACTATGGAACGGTGGCCCCTGTCCAAAAGTATTGCGGCGTAAGTTCATTTGGACACCTTTTACCATTATTTTACACCACACCTGTTATATTATTTGTTTACATTACAATAACACCATTTATGATTTTATGTTATGATTTTATTTAACCCTTACTCACCCATCTTCTTCTCCATCATCCAGCCTCCAGCCTCCCTCATTTTTATTTCAAATTTTAGATGTTTTTTTTTTCACGTAAATTAATGCTTTATGAATGCATGTTTTTGCTCACATATAATTACTTTGTTTGGGTTTGACAATTTAGTGATAATTATACGTGAATTATTAAATTAGCATTGTGAATAAGGTGAGAGTCTAGTACTGAAGTGAGCAAGAGACCTCGAGTGTGGTGATTGGAATAATATTTACTCTTACAATCTAATTGAATTGAATTGAATTGAATCGTGAAAAATCCTTGATTAATAATACGGGTTTTAAATGAAAGCTTTATTTTATTTTATTTATTTATTTTTATTTTATGGAAATCGAAGACGGAGGTGAAGCGGAGATTCTTGTTCAAAATTGAAATAAAAGGGGGAAGCACGAGTGGATATGAATACGGACTGTGGAAAAGACAGGAGTGTAGAGGTTACGCGAATCGGAAAGTAGTTGGCGCTTGTGTACATGTCTTCTCATGTTTTAGTTGACAGTCAAGGCTGTTATCCATTATTGTATGTACAATGTTTGATATACAATATACAATAAATAAAAGTACAATGGATTGTTACCAGAACAAGATCTCCTTGATGAATCCCTTCTTTCAGTTCCATTACCGGTGCTCGACTGGCTAGACTGCGCTGCTGGCATTCTTCTTAGTCTGTTGATATATGATATAAGTGTGATCTAGATTTAGATCGCATATGCTTAAGAAGTACAAGATCATAAGAGATACTTGCGTTAGGTTTGAATTTAGATTTTGATTGAGTTTTAGATAGGTAATTGGCTTAATTATCATGGGTATGATGAAATTGTTATGTTAGACTTCAATGACACGGTTAGTGGCACTTTCGAAAATTAATGAAACTTTTTTAAAGCCTTGGGACTGTCCTCGTTTGATTTTTTAACCTTGAAACCCTTCCTGGTGGGTAGTATGAGATCGTTGATCTGCTTTCTGTTTTTTTTTTGTTTACTTTTATATGCTTTGATATTGTTATGATTATTGGTATTATTTTAAGGAGAGCTTAGTGCCCTTCAAAATTTGTAATAGATATATTATGAATATGGAAGCGTTGATTTAAATTTGAAGAAATAATGCAACAATGTTTGACACAATTTGATGACATTTTTTTTAAGTCACAATATTTTTAGTTGGAAAAAAATATTCTGTTTTAGAAAACTAGAAATTTAATAAAAAAATTGATATCTAGTTTTTTTTATTATGTATAAAGTTATTATTTGATCAAATTTTAATAACTTGAAATTCAACTTTAAAAATTTGACCTGAATGAACAATGAACTTTTTCAACCTATTTAAAATTAAATTTAACATTTTTTTTCAGTTAAATAAGAACTTTTTATGTTTTCACAATGAAATTTTATGAATATTATTATTATTATCATTATTTTTGATGATATTTAATAGACAACAATATTGATTTTGGCTGTCAAAGATTAAGGCCTAAAAAAGATATAAATAAAATATATAATAAAATATTATTCCGTTTTGCGGTCGATGAGAGTGCAGAGTGAAAGGTGCGTTTATAAGAGTACAGCAAACCGGATAGAAATATTCTTCTCTATATACAATTCCTCTCTTTCCGTAGTAGCTCTATTTATATATTATATATTTTGTTAAGAACTCTTCACTTAAGATTTATCCTCACTTTTAATTTAAATACATTATCATTTTAAACACCAGTTTTTATTTAAATATCATATTTGAATACTAAATTATTATTCCTTTGACTCCAATCTCTGTTTAACATAAATTACTTATTTACTATTTAATTAAAGTTATAAATTACCGAATATTCTTACAGTATTTTTAAATAAATCAGCCTTGAAAATCCCGGGTTATTTTGCCATGCACTTTAATATTCAATTCTAAATAACAAAATAATTTTTTAACTTCAAGCAATGACCTCAAATAGTATACGACCACTAACTATTTAAACTGATATTTATTTATAAAAATTATAATTATAATTTTATTAAATTAATCGTATTAGCATCCTATTGGTTTTCTTCTCTTGTGAAGGCTTCTTGCGCAAAGTTTCGAGCATAATTTATCCTTTTTTTGCTTAAAATCAATGTTGTTGAGTTGAGTCTCTGAAAACTCCTTGAACGCAAATCTTTGCTTCACAGCAGTAGTAAAACTTCCTTTCACTGGAGTTTCCATCACTCGGGATATATATAAGACACGTATTTATAAATTATAATAAGTAATACACCGGCTGAAAGATTTATTCGGAAATAATGAACCAGATTTATTAAAAATCATTCAAATTTATTTTATTAAAAAAAATTCTTTAAAAATTTTATACATTAAAAAATTTAATTTTTCTGAAAAATTCTTATTCAAAGTAAATTTTCATTAAAAAAATAGAATTTTATATTTTTATTTTTGCCAACCCCTGCACTGATAGAAGGATTTGTTTATAGTTAAAAATATTTGTTAATATTTAACAAATCATTTATTAGAGACCACTTTTTAGTATTAAACAAATATTTCTTAGTATTTAAAATGATTTGTTTGTATTTAATAAATCTGATATTCATTTATTAAATATCACTGAGAAAAAAAAATACTTTTGCTCAATTAACAATTTCTTAGTTCAAGAAATTCGCTGACAAATATTCTATTATTATTAATTATTAATTTCTGAAGAAAAAAAAATTAATATTTATCTTTGGATAATAGATAAATAAAAGAATAGGTTTATTTAAATTAAGTAAAAATAATTTCAATCAATTTAACAATTTCTTGAGCTAAGAATATATATTCTTGAAAATTTTCAAGAACATAAATTCTTGTATCAAGAAAATTTTCTTAATAAAAATATTTTTTTTTTCTAAGTGATTAATAAATCTTTTCAAATACTAAGAAATATTTGTTAAGGACTAAAAAGTGGTCTCTAATAATTGATTTGTTAAAGATTAAAAAATATTTTTAAATATAAACAAATCTTTTTAATGACATTAAAGTTAACAGTCACTTGACAATTTAAAAAATTTTTTTTAACAAACAAATTTGTTCTAAAAAATAATTTAAAAAAATTGCATTTTTAATTTTTTTAAATTTCTAGATGTCAATTTTTTTTTTATAATTTTTTTGCCATAATTTATTTGTTACAAAAATTTAAAAGTTATTAAATGTCGGCTAAATTAATTTTCATATCTTTTTATCAGTGTGCATAATTAAAAAATTTTATGTATAACATCACATGTTAAATGTGATGTTATTACATTGAAAAACAAAAAATTTCATCACACTCAAATAAATCATATGATATTACTGAGAAAATATAAAAAAATAGAAAAAGATTTTATTTTCGGGTGAATAAAAACAGAAAGGGAATAGATTCAACTGTAACAGAGAAAATGTTCTCCCGTGTAAAAATGATATGATATCATTATGAGGCTCATAATGAATATCATAATGAATCTCATATTTTGGCACTAATATGAGATTCATATAAGAGCCATATCAATACTTTAGAAACCTGTAATAAGTAAAATACCTGTGGGAACGAATTTTTTTTCAGTAGATCAGTAAAAATTTCATTTTTTCTATTAATCAGAGGAAATGTATAATAATTGTGAAAAACAGTATTTTTATCATGCACTATATTGTTGAACTACTTAAATTTTTTCCTTGTCTTTCTTAACTTAGAAGAATATTTAGAAAAACACTATCTTGGTTTAAAAAAAATTTTTGACTGAAAAGATTTTTTCGTCTCAAGATAATTATTTTCTTATTTTGAAAACAATTCAAATCCTCCTAAAAATTTCTTTAATTTAATTATTTTGCAATATTTCCTGTATACAGTTATAACTCAATAATTTTATATTACGATTTAAAAAGACTAACAATATCATTATGAAATCATTATGATTTTATAAAGATATGACCATCATTTAATTATTAATTCATTTTAATATCATTATGATTTCATAATAAAATTATGTCAATATCATCATGGAGATACTGTCCTAAGGAATTTCCAACAGTTACAAAAAAGTTTTTTTCTTAAATTATGAATAGAAGGCAACAATATCACTACAATATTATGATGAATT